ACATTTAATTAGCATAGCATAGCATAGTGCCTGGTACATATTAAGTGCTCTATAAATATTTGTTGAACGAATGAATAATGAATGTAACGTAAGTCCGCAATTATTAGCAAGTCATCAAAAAGCCTATGTAAAGGATTTTTTTCACAAAATCTTGGTGATAGGTACAACTTATTCCATAATTCTTTAAAGGATATTACTAAGGAACACTTTAATATGAGATGGCCTTGGATTTCAAGCAGAGGCTCTACCATTTCTTAGTTGTGTCATGGTGGGTAAGTCACTAAACCCCTCTGAGCTTCAATTTTCTAACCTATACAATGGAGCTAGTATTTACCTTACAGTTTGATTTTAAAGATTTGCAATCATGTTTATAAAGAGCTTGACTTGCACGCTGTACTCGATAGATGGTGATTATTATTATGAAAGGGAACACTGATTTTCATCAGCAAGTTAATCCTTTTGTCCCAGAAATGGGAAAGTTCTTCCAACACTGGCCAAGGTCAGGGCTGCCATCAGCCAAGGTAGGGAACATTCTCATTTTCACTTTCAAAATCAAGAGAATGGCACAGATCTAAGTAGAAAGGAACCAGCAGCACATGTTTTTAAATATTCATAAGGGCTGGAAATGTCTTACTCCTTTCGTTTTCTCTGCCATCTGCTTTTGTTTCTTTTCTTTTCATTCTTATGCCACAGCTGCAAATGAAAACAACCATACAATAACCCAAGTTAAATAAAAAAAAAATCAAAATAAAAACAATCTGATGGGTAAAAAGAGAAGATGAATTATAAAGTTTTCCCTTGAGTTCACAAGGCAGCAGAAGCAAGAAGAACGTTTGATGTGAGTTAGACCTTCTGGAAACCAAAATCCATGCCCCATGTTTATAATAACCATAGTAAGAGCAACCACCATTTATTAAATGGCCCCTATGTGCCACTTGATGATCAGTATCTCTAATTCCTAAAGCCACTCTTCAAAGTAGGTAAAGCGAACCCATTTCACAGAAAACGAAATGGCAGATCAGAGAGGTAAAACAGACTTTTAATGGTTACACAGCTAGTAAGAGATGAAACAGATTTGAACTTCGGTGTGTCTGAATACAAAGCCCAGGCACTTTCTTGACCACCCTCTCCAAAAATGGGAAGGAACATGAAAAACAATTAATTTGGGAAATATTCAGGGCAGACTATTTGTATTTAATGGATTTATTCAGATAGTTAAAATCTGTGATTATAGCTCTAATTAAAGTTAACTTAAATAATTGGTTGTTGTATTTGTGAATGTGCAATTAGTCTTCCACATAATTGCAGGGTTTCAGCATCATACTTTCTATTTATTCACTGCATCCCAGAGCTTTGCTACACTGACTTCTGTTCTACCAAAGGCCACATTACAGCTCTCGGGGTCTCTGGGTCCAAGGACTACGACCTATGATACCAATAGTAGGGTCTAGGCTCAGCCCCATTTAGCATGTCTTTGTCCAAAAGTCAATGAACACCTCATCTTCAATTGCAATGTAAAAAGCTCTTACAACCTACACTGTTGTCCTGAAAACTCCTAGCACCATGTACCTGAAGAAAAACTGGCAGCAGTGGTCTTCATGTGTTAATTACACTTGCGAAGTCTATTATGCATAGGAAGGGCACCTGCTGGCAGTGAAAATGACTAGAATCTGCCCTTCCTGTGCAGTGAGTAAATTGAGAGTTCATTTCTACAGGAGATAATAGTTTTCAGATTCCATTTCGTGTATCCCCTGCATGGGGACGTACTTAACATTTAAATCATCTGCAGAGGAACAAAGCTCCTTCAAACCTACATGTTTCAGGCTCCTAGCACATTATTTAAAATGCTAGTTATCCCTGCTGGCTCTTACCACCAAAGATTAAACTCAACGGTGGTGAAAGTCACCGAGCACAACAGAATAAAGTTATTAGCATTGACTCAAATTTCATGACATTTGTAGTTTCTGACCAAAGCAGTGGTAGTAGGCTGAAGGTGATCAAATCAAGCCTTGAACAGGGGATCTGTTTTTTCTCTTGGGGTCTTTTATTTCATCATTCCTACAACTTGCAGTTAATAAACAGATACCAATCTCCACAGGCCTGTAATCATCCTTATGTCAGATGTCAAAAAGTCCTTTCATGAAAACAAGAGATCAGGAGAGAGACTGCTATCACACAAACAGAAACTTCCAATATGGAGCCTAATCACAAACCCCACTCACGCTCCAAAAATTACCAGCCTTAACTCTGAGTTTCTGGAGTGAAAGTTTGGGGTGACAAGGGCTTCGCAGCCGTCCTTGCCAAGTCTCCCCTTCTCGGTTAGAGCTGTCAGCACCGTTGCTCTCGGTCAGGCTGGTGACAGTTCTTGAAAGGGTTAGAGTTTGAGAGGAAGTTGAAAAGAGGATCTTGGGTCAGCTTTCACGGGAAAGAGTGAAACAGCTAATAAATCCTCTAAGCAAACAAGAAAGGAGGGCTGAGACCTGAGATGGCAGCTGGAAAGAACAACTGGCCAGAATAAACACTGATTTTTTTCTTAAATGAAACTTTTCAATTATAAAAAAACTATACTTTTTCATTGTGTCGATAGAAATATTTGAAAGCATGGAAAATAAAGATCATGCGGAATTCCTCCCCTCCTCCCCAACACAAATCACTGTTAACATTTTGGTGTATTTCCTTTCAGATTTCTGCCTCTCTATATGTATGTATGTATGTGTGTGTGTGTGTATCTAATTTTTGTGTCATATATACACATAATTTTTGTTTGTTTTTGTAAAAATGGAATCATACATATATAACATCTATTTTAGGGTAAGTTATTAAGCCTCTAGGGGCCTTGGTTTACTGATCTATGAAATGGAACTAATAATACCTGCCTTACAGGGTTGCTGGAAAAATTAAATGAGATCACAGATGTAAGGAGATGGTCCAACGAGTGGGGGCCAAAGGAGAGATTCAGCAGTGGCAACTATTGTTATCACTGATGTTACTGACAGAGCATTTTCTTCTCCATAGTTTTTGGGCTCTAAGCTGCTGGTTTTCAACTAGCTAACAATTTGGCAACTGAAACCTTCCAAATAATGGAAAGTGAAAGCTGTACCATTAGGGAGGCAGAGGGACTCCAATGACTTTCTCAGCTCCACCAATCCCTGCACACAAAAGCCCCTGGGTGTTCCTACCTGAAGCATCGAGACACACAGGTGAGTCTCTTCCAGGGAGAACTCTAAGGTTTCCCTGTAGAGCACATGTCTGGGGTGAGGTGTGTGGGGGACCCTGAGGCACATGTCTGCAGGGAAGGGACCTCTGTCTGTGTGTGTAAGTATGGGGCCATGTATTGGGGGGGGGGGGGGTGCCTGTGAAGGGTGCTGTATGTCAGGGCTGGGGCACTGTGTCAGCAGATCCTCTGTGCTTAAGGGGACTGGGTGTCACTGTGTGAGTCTGTCTTAGGGGACATATGTCCCCTTTCCCACCTCTTCTTTCTATCTCCCTTCCACCTTCCCTGGGTATGCTTGTTCTTTCTCTCCCCTTGCCTCTTTCCTCCTCTCTGGCGGCTGTGTCTGCCTCTGCCCAGCCCCCCAATCTTTCATTCAAACAGAGAACTGGATAGAGAACACGGTCCTTTCCTTTGAGATACGTGACAGCAGAAAAAACCAATAGAGTTGGTTCAGAAGCTCAAAAGAAGCAACAAATCTATACAGAGAAATTGCCCTTTAATCTCATGAGAGGTAGGAGAAAGGCATGGATAAAGGGACCCACCTTGATAAGAAAGATACACACTAAAGAGAGAAATGAGCCAATTCACTTAGTGCTATGCACTAGAGAGGGCCGCTGATCTTCACTTCACGGCCCTGAGCTACAACCTTGCTGAACCCATGGCTTCTTGGGATGAGGATGAGCCCAACACATAACATGAGAAGGACTCTTGAATACCTTTAAATTCCCAGGATAATTTGGCTGCCTGGGTGAACCTTTTCACTGAGAGGACTGCAAAACGGGCTGGAGATCCTGGCAAAAATTATGCCTGACCTGGACTCAATCTCTCTGAACCAATGGTAAATGTCCTGAATCATCTGTTCTTAAGTAACAGGGCTGTGACCCCTCAAAGGGGGCCCTTTCTCCTGAAGCTCTCAATTTCTGGCAGACAGTGCAGAGCCTTTTCTATACATGTGTATCGCTCCCTTATCAACTTCTGCTGGCTTGAGCTGTATGGAGATAACGTCTTTGATCATAATACACTGGGGAAAGGAATTATTTATAAGGACATTAGATCACACAGTCTTTTTTGTTAATCTATTGGAGACAGATAGTGATGAAGATGATTCTGCAGAAACATTTACTGAGCATCTACTACGAGACAGCTTTTCTACATGGTATCCTTTCACGTTACTTCATTTCATCTTCACATAATTATGTATAGAACAACTTTATTTTGCAGATGAGAAAACAAAGCTTTTAGCCAAGTGACTTGCCCAAGTGGTTAGCTGACTCTAAAGCAAGTCAGCCTCCCTCCCTCCCTCCTCCCCTCTCTCCTTCCACTAAAACACATTTCACTGAATAGTGAAATTCGCCTCAAAAGACTTCAGAGAGTTTTGAAGGCTGGTTTGTGCTCTCAAAGCACAGCTGAGGGCAAGTCTTACAACACGTGCCACGGCACGGCTGAAACTTGAAGACCTTGGGGATCTCAATTGTTCCTGACACCAGTTTCCAATGTGTCTTAGGAAAAAAAAGAATCACACAACTCCTTGGTGCTTTGGTTTCCCTACACTGAGGAATGCAGAAGGTATTATCTATCCACTTGAACTCTTAAGAATGCCATGACATATATGAAAAGCTGTTTGGAAACAAAGAGGCCATGCAATCAGGTGATCTAAAATTCAGATCACTTTGAAGTTAGTATTTTTAATTTAGAGTCACCAACTGCCTTACAAGTTATAGACCTAACTTGCCTGGTCATTCTCTGGAGAAGGAAAAGCAGAGGACAGGGTAAGCAGTGGCCTTACCAGCAGTAGTCCAGCAGATGTGGAGGCAGGACGGGGATGTACACGTGCTGCCAGAACATGGGGTAGAGCATCGCAGCAGACCCATGGATGCAGGCAGTCAACTGCAACGGAAACAAATTAGAGATTCAGAGCTCAACAATTAAAGTCAGGAGACACTGTCATTTGAGTTCAGCAATAAAACTAAATATATACTTATCAATATATTTAAAATTATAAGTTAACTCAATGACCCTAATTCAAATTTAATAAGAGCTTCCTTTTCCAAAAAATGTATTTTTTTCATGATTATGAAGCTAATCCACAATGACGGTAGAAAAATCTAGAAAATGGAGAAAGGGATAAAAGGAAAGTCTTCACCATCTGAAAATAATTTAACATTTTGGGGTATTACATGCATATGGATTTTTCTAATAAAAATCAGGATTACTGTAAAGACAGTGTTGATTTGCCCTTAAGTTAACATTATTTGCCAGCATTTTCCCCATATCTTTAAACATTCTTAGAAAACATGTTTTCATGCCACTCAATGAATTTCCCATACTATATTTAACCACTCTTCCATCATTAATTCATATAATCGGATCAGGTCAATAATTTTTATATATGGTTCCTAGATGCAGAATTTAAAGACAAAGGTTATAAATATTTTAAGGCACTTAATAAATATAATAATTGTATTAATATAATAAATAGAGAAGGATTGAGGCTCTTTCTACCCCCCCACCCATGTACTGGAATGCTGGCCTCCCTGTACCTCACTGTACCTGTCTTCATTTTATTTTTATTTCTCTGATCATGACTGAAGCTGAACATCTTGTTATATGTTCTAAACTATATTTCTTAAGTAAATGGTCTGTTCATATTCTTAGTCCACTTTTTCTAATGAGAATTAGCATTTTTTAATTGATTTAAAAGCAAATACTGGATATGCAAAGCATAGTAATCCTTTGCAATGTTTTTGAAAATAATTTATCCTTATTTAATTTTCTTTGAATTTTTGGGTAAAGAGAAGGCTTAAATAATTACATGGGCTCCTTCATGACGGTGTCCACTGCTTTTATACTAAGAAAGTCCTCCAAATTTTTCCTCAGCATTTAACTCTTTAATCCAGCTGGAATTAACTTAGGTTTAAGGACTGAGGTGAGAATTTATTTTTTCCACTTAGTTAATCAAGTGCTCCAGCACTGTTTACTGACTAATCCTTCCACTCCCTCCTCTTTTGACTTGTCCCTATTTCATATTTCTTTTTTTTCTTAAGAGCTAGACACTTCATACAATCAGTATTTTATATAACAGAAAAATTAGGAAACAAAGATACAATGGAATAAAATTGCTACAAAATTCAATATAGTGAAAGAAGGAAAAAAACCAACACCTTTGGAGATAGGACTATGAAGTGACAAAAGTCAACAGCAAATGTTTCTTTCTGCCTTTTTTCTTTAATGTTTCTTTGGTTTCTGGGAAGCCTGTTCCCCTGAGGACTTTGCTTCTTTTGGAAGCTGTTAACTGGCCTTTGCTGACAGAAGGACATTTACGTGGCAAAAGAGTGACGCGCCAAGGCCCAGTTAAAAGAATCCCAGAGGTTAGTGTAACATGAACAGCTTTAAACTGGATATTCTGCTGATGGTTCACAGTTGTGAGAGCTGTGTATTAAATCCAGGGCCTAAATTTCCCCCTCCTTTTCCCTCCAGACCCTGTTCTTTAAATCAGGTACATGCCATGAACAGGAGCTTATCCAACAAGCTCGCGAGAGCAGTTCCCAGTGACTCTGCCAAGGCTTGTAGGTTTAATACATTTTTTCTCAACCCATTTCGGTAGGTTACAACATAACGGAGGCTGTCTGTCATAGTATACATGACTAATCTCTTTGGGCTTAGAAGAGATAAAAAATCTTTGCTGGTATTGAGTGAATGGAAAATGAACCAACTTTACTCCAACTCCACCCTCAAGTCAGGCTGGAGGGTTACCCTGGCCTTTGGCCCCAGCTCTTCCTCCCCATCCATTAACCAACTGCCAAAGTATTCTTACTAAAGTGCAGGTCCAGTCATGTAACATCCTGCTCGGAAATGTACTTGGGGGCACACCTGGAACAGGCATGTCTTCATGTCTTCACCAGTTCCCTGTCTACCTGTAGAGAAGCATCTCCAGCCACAATCTCTACTACTTCCTCCAAGTTTATCCTTGGAATAAATCATTTGCAGATTTAGGAGTAGTTATGTACTCCTTTTCCTCCCTTCTGTATTCCCACTGGCCCAGATCTGTGCCCCTAGCAAACTCCTCCTGCCCCGGGTCTCTGTGCACTACCTTCCTCTGCAAAGCCTTGCATGGCTCCACTGGGCATGTGCCCCCATTATTAATGGGACTATGACTGTATGTTTGTCCTCTCACTATAAAGTACAGAAAGACCCTGTCTCTCTTTTGCTCAGTGGCACAATATATATATACATATGCATGTAAGTATATGTGCTAGATAATGCAATGTTTCTTGAGTAAATAAAAAACAATTCACACTTAGAATATATTCACAATATAAAGATAGTCAGTGGCTTGGCTTTTCATAGTACTGGACCAACATTTTCATCGAGTCTCACAGAGTAGGGTATATATATATATATATATGACTCAAATTCCAAAACGATAACAGCAAGCTTAGAAATACAAATATGCCACTTCTGGAAAATGAAGTCAACGGATTCATCCATCCATTTATTCAATAATATGCCTACTCTGTAACTCTACAACACAATAAATAAATAAATAAAAGCACTTAAAAATCTATATGGTGCCATACAAATGTAAGGTATCATCATCGCATGTATTCATTGGTAATTCTCATTGAAAAAGTCATTCAATAGAATGTTCCTGGTTGAGAGAGAACTTGAATACCTGCCTCTTTTTAGCTTAAATTGGTTTGAGTCAAAATCCTATTTCAAGCGACACAGTGGCAGAGATCTTACCTTCAGACAATGTTCTTTTCATGTCTCCTTAGCCTCAAAAAAAAACCCTAGCAAGCTAAATGACAAGGTTTTAAAATTACTTATCCCTCATAAAAATCAAACTTTTAAGATGACTGATCATCATTTCCATTGTGGGGTTTTCTGAGGGCCAAAGCTCTGCAATTGGAGTAAAATGCTTTTACCCATTTGATTAAGAAAACAAACAAGGAGTTGTTTGGCTCTTTTCCAAAATACTGAACAGCACAATGTGCATCATTTCTTGGAAATAGTGGCTAAGTGGACCACAGAAAAGTGTTACGACATACCTATGCTTAATCAGAAATAACATACATCCCATAAATTATCATTAGCCACTTACTTAAAAAAAACACAACAAAACTCTAAAACCAACCCCATTAAGAAAAAAGAAGGCTCCTAAAGGCCTATGCTCATTCCTTACAGAATTCAAAATTTAAAAGTAATGAAAGTATACAGTTTGGATTGTAGTCAACAAAGGAGTATTGTGAATATTTAATTGAAGTGCAAGTTGAGGAAAATGATCCTATCAAAATCTCACTCAGTGGGAGAATAGAAAGATAGTATGTGTAAAATTTGCCCAAAGTCATTAGTCACGATGAATATTCATCAGAAGCCAATTATCAACCCCACTTAATGACACCCCAAAAGATTTCGCCCTGAAGCAGCTGAATAGTCTAAGACTCCAGACAAAACTAGACAAATTACACAGCCAACAGCCAGTCTAGCCAGGACACAAATTGTAAAGTAAACCACTGGTGGGTTTTTGGACTCACTTTTCGCAAATTCTGTCCTCAATTAAAGGTACATAAGGTCAGTCTGATTTTGGAACTTTCTATATGGCTCCATAGTTTCCTTTGAGGCAAAGGGAGAGAAAGGAGAAGGCAGTGGAGGTAGGACATGAATGGAGAGCCATCAATGATAGGGTTTGAAAAATCACAAAGACACATTTTTTTTTTCAGTTTGAGGTATTACTTAGGGATAATGCCCAGACTGTCACAATCTTAGATACCAATTCAGCTGATTCCTCAGAGTAACTCTGCAATTAACATGGGGAAAAAAAAAAAAAAAAAAAAGGAATTTCAACAGAGCATGTGCCACGCACCATGCTGGGGGTTTAGGATCTTGCAAAGTACTATTTTAGAGATAGGCGTGTGTGTGTGTGTGTGTGTGTGTGTGTGTACACACATATACACTCAACACCACATTTCACAGATAAGGAAACAGTTTCAGAGGTGAAATAACTTGCCCAAGGCCACACAGCTAGTAAGTGACAGAACTGGGACTCATATCCAGGTCTATCAGACTATAATGGCCATCTCCACAATGCATAAGTTAACTATTGTGTTGAGTGCCTATGCTGTGCCAATACATTATGCCCAGGATTCTGAGCTAGGTGAAATACTGTCCCTGTTGGCATGGCCAAATTATGTAGAAAATTATGTAGAATTTGCCTTGCTGTTAGATGACCAAATATCTAAAGCAAAATGCCAATTAACAGAAAATAATCATTTTAAAACAAACACAGAGCTGATCACTTCCTGAGGATTAGTTACATTTAAGTAAGGTGGTATAGTATCTTTAATCCATAGGAAATTCTAGACAATGAGGTAACGAGTGTTAAAAGGTTTAGATTCCAATGTGGGCGCACCTACTGGAAAGTCTGGCTTTCTGTCATGTTCCTTTTCACATACTTTCATGGAGCTTCCACTAAATCTCTTTTTTTTTTTTTGCGGTATGTGGGCCTCTCACTGTTGTGGCCTCTCCCATTGCGGAGCACAGGCTCCGGATGCGCAGGCTCAGCGGCCATGGCTCATGGGCCCAGCCGCTCCGTGGCACGTGGGATCTTCGATCTTCCCTGACCGGGGCACGAACCCGTGTCCCCTGCTTCGGCAGTCGGACTCTCAACCACTGAGCCACCAGGGAAGCCCTAAATCTCTTTTTGATCTGAGCAGGTCACTTCCTCTCCTGGGTCTCAATATGGAAAACAAGAGGCTGGACTACATGATCCCTGTCCCCCCTTCCAGCTTTGACAACTTTGATCTAGAGCAATTGCCATCCTTTGACATAAAGAATTCTCCTCCCCTGCCCCAGCTCCCTTCCTCAGCCATACTTGACTAAGCGTAAGT